CAGCCTTTTGTCTGGCACAAGATAAAGGTGAACAGTGTTAATATACTAGCATGGAGAGAAAATTGGTTAACTAATAGAAAGCAAAGAGCAGGGATAAATGGTTGTTTTTCTAGTCTGCAATCAGTGGCTAGTGGTGTGCCTCAGGGATCAGTGTTGGCACTGTGACTGTTTACAATTGACATCAGTGATTTAGAGCTGGGGACCACTTGTAGTGTGTCAAAGTTCACAGATGACATTAGTGGTAGAGCAAAGTGTGCAGAGGACACTAAAAATCTGCAGAGGGATATAGATAGGTTAAATGAGTGGGCAAGGGTCTGGCTGATTGAGTACAATGTTGTTAAGTGTGAGGTCATCCCTTTTGGGAGGAATAATAGCAAAATGGACTATTATTCAAATGGTGAAAATTGCAGCATGCTACTGTGCACAGGGATCTGGATGTCCTTGTGCATGAATCACAAGAAGCTGGTTTTCAGGTGCAGCAGGTAATTAAGAAGGCAGATGGAATACTGTCCTTCATTGCTGGAGAGATGGAGTTTAAAAATAGGAAGGTTTTGTTGCAGCTGGTGAGGCCACACCTGAAGTCTGTGTACAGTTTTGATCTCCTTACTTGAGAAAGAATGTACTGGCACTTGGATGGGGTGCAGAGGAGGTCCACTAGGTTGATTCCAGAATTCAGAGGGTTGGCTTACGAGAAGAGATTCCGTAGACTGGGTCTATATTCATTGGATTTAGAAGAATGAGGGAGGGATTTATAGAAACATAAAATTATGAAGGGAATAGATAAGGCAGAATCATGGAGATCGTTTCCACAGGTAGGTGAAACTAGAACTAGGGGTACAACCTCTAAATAAGGGAGAGTAGATTTACAACTGAGTTGAGAAGGAGTTTCTTCACGCAGAGGATTATGAATCTGTGGAAATCCCTGCCCTGTGAAGCAGCTGAGGCTACCTCGTTGAATGTCTTAAAGGCAAAGATAGATAGATTTTTGAACAGTAATTAAGGGTTATGTTGAGCAGGTAGGTAAGTGGAGCTAAGTCCACAAAAAAAATCAGCCATGATCATATTGAATCACGGAGCATGCTACAGGCCTACTCTTGCCCTATTTCTTATGTTCTTATGAATCTGCCTCCACCACATTTTCAAGCAATGAATTTCAGATAGCATTCACTCACTATGTAACGGTATTCCCTCACAGAATCTTTCAGTACAGAAGAGGCCCTTCAACCCAACAAGCCCACACTTATCAAAAAAAAACCCTAAAATCAACACTTCTACTCTGACTAGCAGAGATTTAAAGTTGAGCCTAGCTTCTGACTTCAGGAAGTTACCAGCTTCCTTCTCTGTCATTAGTAACAACCTGTAACATGTCTGTCTCACTCCTTTCCTGTGAAAATTCTGCTTGCTCCCCTTGGTGTCCTTCACCCCTACACCATGCAGAACTCATGAAATGGTCACAAAATCACCTGGCTCCTTATCCATGGAATTTCCTGTAATATCTGTACTACTTTGCATTGTTATTCTCTCCTGAATCATCCCTTGCCCTTTGGTGCCATGGCCTGGACTGCAATCACCAATGCCTGCAGATCTAACATATACAAATATAGGAACATAGGCCATTGAGCCCTTCAAGTCCACTCTGCCATTCAACTGGATCATGGCTGATCATTTATCTTAATACCACTTCCAGGGTTATCCTCATATCCTTCACTGTTACCAGTAACTAGAAATTTACTGATTTTAGTCTTGAACATATTCGATGTTTGAGCTTCTACAGCATGCTGGGGTCAAGAATTCCAGCGTGAAAAAAAAATCCTTCCCGCTGTATTAAATGGTTTGCCTTTTATTCCGAGACTGTCCTCCTTGGTTTGAAATCCCTAATCCAGAAAAAGAATAAACATGTAGGCTTAGAGTGGCACATCAAAGACTCCTGCCTCTTCTTACTCTTCTGCCCAGTCACCAATTTTTAAGGAAATATGTAAGGAAAGTTTCTTTTTACACTGAGGATGGTAGGTGCCTGGAATACACTGTCAGGTGAGGTGTTAGAAGGAGATATGTCAGCAAAGCTTAAGAAGTATTTGGACATATGCAGGGAATAGAGGGATACGAACCCAAGCAAATTAGATTAGTTTAGAATCGCACTCTAGTCAGTACAGGTATGGTGGGTCGAAGGGGCTGTTCCGATGTTGTACTGTTCTATATTCTAACATAAAATTCTATTATATTATGGCTATTCTTCCCTAAAGGCTCTTTTAAAACACGAGGATTTATGATTCTTTCTTCATTATACTGAACTAGATCTAAAATAACTTGTTCCCAGTTGGTTCAACATACTTATCCAGAAAACCAGTTTGTATAAATTCCAGAAATTCATCTTTTACAATATAGTACTGATTTTCCCAGTCTATATGTAGATTGAAGTCCCTCATGATTACTAATTCATTGTTGTTACATACACCTCTTGTATGTACTGCACCCTACGTAACAAATACAGTTTGGTGGCTGACAAACAATGCTCATCAATGTTTGCCGCCCCTTACCATTTTTTGGCTCCACTGAAACTGAGTCTATATTTTGATCCTCCTATCTCAAATCCCCTAATGTGTTCTTTATCAACAGCGCTACCTCACTACATGTTCTTGCCCGTCCCTCATAAATGGCAAATATCCTTAAATAACTTGGTCCTCTGGAGCCAGTTCTCTGCATTGACAACTAGATCACATCTATTTACTTCTATCTATATCATCAATTTGTCAACCTTGTATTAAAAGCAATGTGCTTTCAGTCAGTACCTTTTATTTTGCCTTTTTAATATTTTTCTGTTTTTTAAACCCTATTCAATGCCAACTCTCTACAAAACCAGTTTAGATGCTCCCCAACAGCATTAACAAATCTCACCATGAAGATACTGATCCTGCTGATATGTAACCCGTCTCTATTGTAGTGGTCCCTCTGAATGGCTCCAAAAGTTGGAAGTCTTGCCTTCTATAACATCTCTCCAGCCATGCATTCAATTTGCCCTCTTCCTCTATTTCTATGCTCCCTAGCACAAGGCACTAGGTTTAATTCAATCCTGAAATTACAGCCCTTCAAGTCCCTTTCCCAAACCTAAACAGTACTGTCACAGTACCTCATCTCTCTTTCCACCTACATAGTTAATAATAACATGGACCACAACATCTTGTATCCTTCCCCAAAAAAATATCATGAAGCCTCTATGCACCATCCTTTACACTGGGAGCAGGAAAGCAAAATATAATTGTGGAGTCAAGTCTACCACCACAGACACCCTGTCTGATCCCCCGAGTACTGAATATCCTATTACTCCACCACCCCTCCTTCATAGTCACTCATAGTGCACGGACTTGACTCTGGCTGCACTCCTTTCAGGAACTATCATCCTAAGCAGCATCCAAATTGGAAAGTGAATGGATTCAGGGGACTCCTGCACCAGCTGTCTGGCAGTCACCCATTCCTTTTCTGCCTCCTCTCTATCTCACCCTGCATTGTGACCGTCTCTCTAAATATGCTATCCCCATAACTCTCAGCCTCATAGTCACCCAACAGTGACAGAACCATTGCTCAAACTCCAAAGTCCTGAACTCTCATTTCTACAATAAGGTTACATTTCATGTACCTGTGGTCATCCAGCCCATGGGAAGCGTTCATGACATCCTTCATGTCATAGGTGTGTTTTCTATGCAGCTGAACTGTGCTGCCTTGCCTGGATTTTATTTAACATTCTATTTATTATAAACTGGAGACTGGAAAATCAAAATTGCCTGTTTCCCTTATTTTTCTATCCAGCAAATCAATTGCTGTGCCTTCAGTTTCAACTCCTACACTGTCCCTTCTGATATCTCCTTAGCAGTCACACCAAGTATTATCTATATGCTGTTTCTCAGCAACATTATCCAGAGACACAGCAGGTTTTCACCTGATGACTTCCTGCTCTAGGTAACCACCACCTCTCTCAAACCCTCCATTGTCTCTGATACACCACAGTGCTGCATAGGCATAAATCACCTCCAAGTAAATAATGCAAAACCAAAGCCGACAGCCTTAGTTGGAGCCACCTACTTGTACCCTTCTCCCTGGGCATTGCCTGAAACGGAGATAAATCCTTTACAACCTTGTTGTCCTATTTTATCCTCGTGTCCCACTTTCAATCCCCACATCATCCAAAGCGCATAGTTCCACCTCTGTAACATCATCCACCTTCACCCCACCTCAGATGAAGTACTACCACTGCTGAAACCCCATGCCTGCACCTCTGATATCTCAAGACACACTATTTCAATTTTCTTCTGGATAGCTTCTTATCTAACTTTCACTCCAGTAATTGTGAACTGACCCAAAACTCAGCTTCCTGCAAGTTAATTATGAAGAAGTCACAAAGTGATCCATCACCTCTGTTTGCAGATCTATATTGCCCTCCACCTTGGTTGAAATTAGTCATTTTTAAAATTCTCAGCTATGTATTTTAATCCTTCCCTAAATATCCCCAATCACTTTCTCTGAAATACCCTCCAGTTTTACAAACTTCAGAGATTCCTCATACTGTGGTCTCTTGCACATTCCCATTTCCATCACCCCAACATTAGTGGTGTGTCTAGTTCTTAAACTTGGGAATTCCCTCCCCAACCTTTCCATCACTCCAAATTACTCCCTTCTTTTAAAATATAACTTTTAACTCTCTCTCTCTAACCAAGCTTTCAGTCACTTATATGAATTCAAACCTTGCTTGATTCCATTTTCAAACCGCATCTAATAAACAATCCTGTGAAATGTCTTGGGATATTTTATCACATAAAAAACACCAAAAATGCAATCTGTTTTTGTTGGGGAGCATGTATGGCTCTGATGAAGAAACAAACTTTTGGGCTTTTGTACATGCCAGGCTCCCATCAACACACACCTCATCAAGCCATGGATTGGACTTGGCTTCCCACTGGTACATATTAAAAGGAGCATACTGTAATTCTGGGAGTAATTACACGTACCTTTAATACGTCTGTAGGGTTGGCAATAGATGACGAAACCACTCCAGCAAGAATCCCACATAGAACATTTACAAGGAGCGTTTCATCTGTAAATTGAAAATACTTTACAAAAGGTGCAAAGCCAGGTCAAGGACATCCCAGCTAGAAGTAATGCTCGTACTTCAGAAAATTGAGAGTACATGTACCAAAAGGGCACAAGAGGTTTTACATTCCCAGCACCCCACTACATTGAAAATCATTTTTTTGATTTACTCACCAGGATGCAGACATCACTGGCTAGGCCAGTACTTATTGCCCATCTCCAATTGCCCAGAGGGCAGTTAAAAGCCAACCATTTTGCTGTGGGTCTGGAGGCACATGTAGGCCAGACCAGATAAGGATGAAAGGTTTCCTTCCCTAAAGACCAGGTGGATTTTTCCAATGGTTGCACAGTCATCATTAGACAATTAATTCCAGACTCTTTATTGAATTCAAATTGCACCACCTACTATGGTGGGATCTGAACTGGGTTACCAGAACATTAGCTGACTTTCTGGATTAATAGTCTGGCGATAATATCACTAGGCCATTGCCTCCCCCTTTCCAACACCAACCAGAATGGGATTATATCTGCAAGTCTCTTTCTGAAGTATAACTGAAGTACTTTCAATTGGAACTTCCAACAGTTCTCATAATGAATAACAAAACATTTTTTTCTATCCCCATCCTTGCCCTTCCTCATGTACTTCTCCCACACTGGAGATCAGTTAATAATGAAAACCAAAATGATGCCTTCCAATTCACAATCATGGCCGAGTGTCACAGGCATTGGGACTCTACAACTAGTGGGCATAGTCTGAGATTTTGGGCCAGAAAATTCAGGAGAGATGTTAGGATGCACTTCTACACACAGGGAGTGGTACATGTTTGGAGCTCTCTTCCACAAATGCCTGTGGATGCAAGATCAGTTGTTAATTTTAAATCTGAGATTGAATAATTAGTGTTAAACAAAGGTACTGAGAGATATGGAACGAAGACAGGTATGTGGAGTTAGGTCACAAATCAGCCATAATGTCTCTGAACAGTAGAACAGGCTCGAGGGCCAAACGACCTACTCGTGTTCTTACGTTCCTCTGTAACAAAATAGGCAATACCCAGTCTCTGGTTCATTCTTAAGGGCAATGCCTTGACCAGAGTCACACTCCTGGTTCAAGTTTAAACAAGCTCAGCAGTTAACTGCCAGCCATCATCTAACTGGTACATTCTCCACGGCAACTCCTTTATCAATCAGTACTCTTTCTCATACAATTTAAAATATCGTTGGCCTTTACAGTGGTCTTCTAATGCATTGTCCTGATGAGTTTAAGATGAAAATAAGTGAATTAAAATGAAATGCTGTCCTTTTAAGAGAAGAATGAGACTTTTTTTCCCTCTCTCTCGTCAAGAATTTTGCAACTTTGAAACTCTCTGCCTCAGGAGGCAGTTGGGGCGTGCATGTGTGAATATTTTGACAAATTTTGACAAAATGTCTTTTTCAGCAATTCTCAAGTTCTATACAACCAAACAATGATTAATATTTTCCTCTGGTAAGGTACCTGCAATTCTCTGCTTCGATAAATAATTTTGATTTCTTGAATGTGAATAACAACCTTTTAATTGGAACCAAAGTAAAACTAATAATTTCAAACTGCTTGTTGTATTATCCTCAGATTACTGGGCTATACAAAATCAACAAGAGATTCTTCTAAACTTAGCAAGCAGCAGCAGAAAGGGCCATCTGTTCTTGTGGGCGAGAGCGCTTGGATTGTACTCTGCACAGTGCAACCAGATTGGAGAATCACACCAAAAGTTGAAATTGCACCAAATGTGCAATATTGTGGAGTTCCAGTGTAAATTAGATTTGGGAAAATAATCACCAAATATTTATTTGAAATGAAACAAACCTTGTGGACAGCTTACAAAAAGGCGCTTCAAACTTTGGTAAGTTCCGATCTTGATGGTGCCATAGGATGCCTGACGCAGCAGAGCTGGACTGATGCTGTATCAGGAAATAAAGACATTACAACAGATCAGTCTGTATAACAAAGCTTCACCCCCAGCCCAATGTTCAGCATTTCAAGACATTAATACACCCATTTCTTTCATCCTTCTGTCCAGAATGAATGTCCTTTTCACCTTCATACGTAAGGATTTCATGTTTCAGATTTATAGGATACAGGCAAGACCATAACTCAAATATTATCCACAATACTAATCACCTCATTGAAGGAAGGATGAAAATACTTTGGAGGTTGGTTAGGGGAGATTTACTGGATTGTTATCTAGAACAAGTTGCCTTGAGAACAAGTTAGACAGACTAGGCTTGTTTCCAATGGAGTTTAAAAGAGGTGACTTCTTGATGGAAATAATATCCTGAATGGCCCTGACAAGATGGACATGGAATGGATATTTCCTCTTTAGGGCAAGTTCAGAATTAGACGGCACTGTTTTAACATGAAATGCTGTCCTCTCAAGAGAGGGAAGAGATTTTTTTTCTCTTTCGCCAAGGATTTTGCAACTTTGAAACTCTCTACCTCAGAAGGCAGTTGGGATGTGCGTGTGTGAACATTTTTAAGGTAGACATTCTTGATGGCAAAGGGAATCAAAGCTTATCGGGATAGATGAGAATATGAAATTCGAAAGACAACTGATCAGCATGATCTTAATCAATGGCAGAGCAGGCTCGAATGGATGACTGGAGCTATTCTGCTCCATTATTTTAGGTCTGTAAGAGGGGCTCTTTGTTTACAATCAGTATTTAACCCGACTCGTCTGCATGGTCAGGTCAGAGTCATTACAACACGTTAGGAAGTCACCCTACCCATCAGCTCCAGATTGTGTAGGGTAATCCAATCAGTCCTATTGTCCTATGGATTTCCATACAATAAAATTATTCATAAGGAATCCAACCATATGCAAGAACTTTTCCAATTCTTTTTGACTATCCCACTTTCCTATCACTCAACTGCACAGGTTGCATTGTACCTTGACATTTTTACTGCTGCTCAATTGCTTTTGGAGACTTGTAATCTCCAGCAAAGACTTAAATCCAGCCAAGTAAACAACTTGCATTCGGCTGTCAGTTAATGGAGAAAGCTGTCGATTGAGACAATGATTACAAACAGAGCAGAGGAAAGAAATGGGGTAACTAAAACTGGTCAATGGGGAAAGAAAGATTTTAGATGGCACAGCAATTTACAAAAAGCCTTGGTGGTTTCTTTTTTTAAAAGAGTCAGATGAGGCACTTATTTTGTAAAACGAAGGGACCAATGGGCCAGAGAGACCTATTTATTACATGTGCTACATGACAGTCAGAACAGGAGATTGGATAGTCAACAATTTAGTGGGAAAGGGTGAAGGGGTCAGGAGGAGGGCCTCATAGATACAATGAAATTGCGGAGGTTATAAGAACACAAGGTGGAGAAAGTTCAACTTGGAGCTCAGGTTGGCAAATTTTCTATTACCAGGTACAGATCATATTTTATAACCACCGGACATCACCAAAAACATTGTTGTTGTTTGTGATAGCTTATAGATGGCTAGCTTCCACCAGCAGCAATGTGGTAATGGCCAAATAGTTGTTTTTCTTTTGTGATGCTGATTGAAGGACAAATATTGGTCGCGACACTGAGGAGAACTTGACTGCTTTGCTTTAACTTGAACCATAGGATCTCGAGTGGTCACTGGAGAGGACAGAAAGAATTTCAAAAAATAACATTCCTGGACAGTACTACATGCAGTTTCATCTGGACTTTTGTGAAGTTCTAGAATCAGACTGGAACCCTGTAACCTTGAACTCCCCCATGTGTGTCGGGGCCAGCATTAATCTGATGGGTTACAACAGAAAAACATGCTTCCAGTAGAGTTATGCTCCAAGTACGCTCCCAGTTCTGAGGAAGGGTCAACGGACCCGAAACGTTAACTCTGTTTTCTCCTCCACAGATGCCGCCAGACCTTTTATGCAAATTCTAATTGCTTAACCCTATAAACTGGGATGTCACTCCGAAAAATCTGTGCCGCACCCTATCCAAAGACAAAATCACCAAGCAACTAAACAGATTGGGCTGGAAGAACCATTCCCATTGATGAGAATGGAGGATACCACTTTAAGGTGTTTTGTTAAACAAGCAGCAGCCACATGAGGAAAAACAGTGACACAAACAGATTGGCTAGAACCTGTGCCTGTGGTACAAGCTAATCCAATCAAGGCTATTAAAGAGACTTTGATCATTATGTAAAGAGAAAAAAATAGCTTGGCTATTGGGAAGAGTATGCAGACTAGAATGTACTTGGAAAGCCAGCAGAAAAAAGATAGGCTGAATGGCCTCCTCCTGAGCCAGAACCATCCCATGATTCCATGACATCTTTCAAGAGGTGCAGTATCCGGAGTTGAACACAACACTCCAGGAGGGAAACTTGAGATTTTGGTGAGAGTAAGAATTTGGTGCAGAAGGCGAAGATTTTTTTTTAAAAAACTTCCAATAGATCTCGTGGAAGTGTGCAAAATTTAATTATTTAAAATGTAGGTTTGTTACTTCTTACAAGTCAATATATATGAAAAGAAAACAATTTGCGATAAATTAAAACCTATATGAATAATTTAGATTAAGATTTGGCAGCTTATTTGTTTAGTCTACAGTACATTGGTGTGTGTGGACTGTAAGATTTTTCACATGAACATCCACAGGAGATGTCTCCATCTCCAATTGCTCCTACTCAAAATCATCGAGCTGGAGACACAGTGGATGGGGTGCCGTATCAGAACAGATTCATCCAGACTTCACGTGCACCCCATGCCTTATTTAAGGAAGGATTTAAAAGCATTAGGAGTGGTTCAGAGCAAGTTTACTATATTGTTACCTAGAATGAGGGGTCTGTTTTATGAGGATAGACTGGACATGCTGGACTTGTATCCACTGGAGTTTAAAGAATGAAGAGTGATTGAAGTGCGTACGATAGTCAGGTGGATAAAGCAGTTAAGAAAGTAACACACTTTGAGAGACCACATTTTTCCAGAGACAGGACTGCAACTTTCATTACAAAATTGGGAGAAGGGGAAATTAAAAGAATATATCAGGTTAAACAAAAAAGCAGCAACATCATTGACTTGGGGATGAAATCGACAACTCAATGCTGTAATTAAAAACTTATACACTATTTCTAGAGGTCCTACAAGTACATTAATGGCAGAAGAGTAACTAGGCACAGAATAGAGCCCCTTAAAGCTTAACGAGCCTGTTTATGTGTGGTACCACAGGAGATAGGTGAGATCCTAAATGAATATTTCTAGTCAAGATTTACCATGGAAACAGACGTGGAAACTAGGGAACTTGGGGAAGTAAAATGTGATGTCTTGGAAAAACAGTCCACATTACAGAAGAGGTACTAGAGGTCTTGAAACACATAGGCAAATAAATCTCCGGGACCTGATCAAGTGTATCCAAGGACATTGTGGGAAGCTGGGGAAGAAATTGCAGGGCCCCTACTGAAGATATTTGCATCATCAATAGCCATGGGTGAGATGCCCAAAGACTGATCAGTGGCTAATGTAATGCCATTATTTAAGGAAGGCTGCGAGGAAAAGCCAGGGAATTACAGACCGGTGAGCCTAACATCAGTGGTAGATAAAGCAGACTAACAAATAAGCTGCCAGATTTTAATATAAATTATTCATTTTTTTTTAAAGTTATTGCAAATTGTGTTTTCCTTTTATATACATTGACTTGTATGAAGTAACAGTGGCGGGTTGCTGGAGGAGATTCTGAGACAACATCTACACACATTTAGAAACACAAGGGCTAATTAGGGACAGTCAGCATGGCTTTGTGTGGGGGAAATCGTGTGTCACAAATTTAACTAAGTTTTTTTTCAGGACCAAGAAGATAGATGAAAATGGTGCAGTAGACATTTTCTACACAGACTTTAGCGAGGCTTTTGACAAGGTACTGCATGGTAGACTAGTTATTGAGGTTAGATCACATGGAATCCAGGAAAAGCTTGCCAACTGCATACAAAATTGGTTTGACGGTCGGAGACGGAGCACAGTGATAAGAGGATTGTTTTTCAGACTGGTAGTCTGTGACCAGTGGTGTGCCGCAAGGATGGGTGCTGGGTCCACTGTTGCTCAATATTTATATAAATGATTCAGGTGAGATATAGAGGGCAGGTTCTCAAATGTTCTAATTGCTGGACTATTTTCTCAGAAGAATCTTATTACATGGGACAGTAGTGTGACGATGCTATGGCTAAGTTATTTTGTCCTGGTTTTATTTTGAAGAGAGGTTGTAAGGTAGAGGAACCGAGCAGTCCACCAGAACTATTAAACAGCTTGGGAGGCCTTGGGTCTTTTTTTTTTAAAAAACAGCCGGAATCGGTAGGGCCAGTTCTCACAGATCCAGATTTCTGGATTTTGATGCTTCCAGCAGCAAAAGCAGCCTTTCGGGTCTCAAAAAAGTCAGAGCTTCAGTGAATGTCTCCTAGCTGCTACTTTCTCGAAATTTTCTCTTGATATTTTTCTTCCTGGATTGGAGAACTGTACGTGAGAATCGGCGTCTGAATTTTCTTGTTTTGCCAAGGGGTGCGTTTATGGGATACTACTATATATTGCAGCAGTTAATTACTAATAGTTACCTATCTATTATTCAGTTAAGTCTTCTAAACATTAATTTATTCTAAACCCTGTTTCTTTTGTTTTTATTTTAACTATAATGTTTAAATAAATTATGTTCTGCTTAATGTTGAGTAGTTTGACCAATCTCATTACATCTGGAACACAGCACTTCACATTTACCTTTAAAATAACAAAACGTTAGGGTCTACGCTACCTTCTTAATATATTTTGAGTTGGTTTGGTCTGGTCTAGTCTATAACAAGTTGGGGGCTCTTGTCAGGATCAAATCTATAATTCCAGGTTGGGTTCAGGATTGTTGGACTCAAAGGCAGTGAGTAGTAGGTATTAGTGTCTTTTGTTTCAGGTGTTGAATTCAGTTGGTTTAAACA